GAACCGCCGCTCCTCCGTGCTGTTTTCAGAGATGAAAAGTTTTGACTTCAACAATTCGAGAACAAATTGACAATGGCTGCCTTCCTGTATTTTGAGCAGGGAGGTGCCACTGAAGCTCTGAGCTCCACTAGTGCTCACCTGGCTGGTTTCCAGCTCTCTCTCTGGGATTTGGATGGAGCCTGGAGCTGAGCCTAGCAGGGATAAAGCTGCTGGGGGCATTTTAAGGGCTTAATGTTCAAACAGTGCAGCTCTTCTATCTTCCAGTAGAGCCAGCTTGGCAAGTACAAACCTCCAGGAGCCTTTCATCCACGTTCTCCCACAGGTTGCAGGCCTGTGCCAAAGTTTAGCAAGCTCTGCTGTGTTTCTGGCACAGCTGTGTCATGCTGAGACTTGAAACTGTGTCTCCTCTGGGACGGTGCATGCCTATTCCCTGTCCCGGGATGATGAGAGACTTGTGAAAACTCGTGTTGCATCCAAATAAGCCTAACTGAACCAGCCAGGCAGGGAGCTGCGGCATCCCTTATCTAACCAAGGAGTAATGGATTAGCTTCAGGCTCCTTTAGGGAACGTTTTCCTGAGTTTTCATAAAATAAGGGTGGAGTCCAGTCTTTTGTGGGAGATGCTGTGTTTAAAGGGTTTCCCCATTAGTTGGAGTGGCTGATCTCCTCTGTAAGGTCGTTTCTTTCACGAAAAACGATAGCAGGCAGCAGCGGTGTTTGGACACAAAAAGGCTTTACCTCTTGGATCCCAGAGGGTGCCTGGCAAGCTGACTGAGCCTTGAGAGGTCTCGGGAAGCAGCAGCAGCCGTACCCCAGCTGTGTGGGCGAAGGAGATGGGTCTGATCCTCCTCCCTCCCTAGGGCGAAAGCCAGACGTGCCTCTGCATGCTGGCGTGGAGCTGCTCCCTGTGGGTGTAGCAGCGCTCGCTGGCTTCGTGTTTTGGTAAATGCTCCCACAAAGGAGCCGCGGGACGTGGCCTGAGCCTGACAGCCAGCTGCAAGCCCTCTGTGTTGGGGGAAGCGGGGCTCAGATCTGGGGCTGGATCCTCTGCGGGTAGCTGCCTCCTGGGTAGCTCCCAGTGGTCTCCTCCGGGGGTCCTGGAGAGGGCTGGGGGAAGCAGAGCCGGGCACTGGCAGCAGCAGGGCGCTGGGCAGGAGCTGGCAGCTTTGCAGGAGGCCACGGGACAGGCAGCAGGAAGAGCTTTCAAAGCTGCTCTGGTGTGTTAGAAGCCAGCACGGTTGAAGCAGTAGGGTCGATGAGCTTCAGCCACCTCCCACGGGGGCAAGGGGACACCCCGGGCTGAGCAGCGAGGACCTGACCGTGCCGAAGGGCTCCGGCTGCCGGGGCGCCGGGCACAGCCCCGCTCCAGGGCTCCCTGCCAGCAGCAGCCTCCCCACTGCCAGGGCTGCAGGTGCCCCACGCAGGGCAGGGGGGGCAGCGGGGGGCTGCTGCTGCAGGACCTGCCCCTTTCCTCCTGGAGGGACGCGGACTGACGAAGCCCTGCGTCACTGTCGAGCGCGGGGGGCCGGGCACCCACCCCACCCCCCCCCCCCCCCACTATCTGATGGTGCCCGCCAGCCCCTGGCCGCAGGCTGTTCCCACGTCCCCGCGTCCTGCAGCCTGCTGTCAAACATCCCCAGGCAGTTCAAACAAGGGCGGTGCATGGGTGACGCATGGCAGAGCCGGGGCAGGGCCCGGGGCCCGGCCGGGTGCCATCCCTTGGTTGGGGACACGGGCAACGCCGACGGGTGGTACCCGCGGCCCCGCCGCAGGGATGCTCCAGGATCGGGGCAGCATCCCCCGGGGCTCACCCCCGCCAGCCCCCCAGGCCAGCCAGCGCTGGGCCAGCGGGCATCCCTGCCCAGTGCCAGGCTGGGCTCTGCCGCAAGGTTATCTCTGTGTTTGTGTTATTAATTAACGCTAATTGCAGGGGGTTTGTTGACCAACTAGGAGAGGTTCTTCCTGTCTTTTCTGGAGCAATGTCGAATGCAAACAGAGCGGAGATCTGGGCAGCTTTCCAGCAAAGTAGGGGGGATGGAGGGGAGTCATCAGAACGATTTTAATGGTGGGAATCACCTGAGCTGGGCAAACACTGATGCTGCTGAGCACCGGGCTATAAAGGGCAGCTCCTCTCCTCTCCCGGTGACCCACGAGAAGCCGTTATTCCTCCTGATCTCCAGACAGCAGGTGAGGAAGGGGACCCTCACGGGGCAGCTCGGACCTCAGTATGCTCCGAGGTGGCTTGTGAGCGAGCAGGAGCTGGTCCCAGCCCCGGCAGCTCCCAGGGGAGCTGAGCGCTGCCCTTGCTGGATGGGGCGGGCTGCAACGATGCAATTTTCATCCCCGCGTTGACTTTTGTTGCTGCTTCTTTGAGAGGAAGACGAGCTGAGCCTGCAAATCGGCATGCCGGTGCCCGGGGATTAGCTCAGATAAAGGGGAGCTGCGCTGATGTGGCCGATTTGCCTCCCCAGCCTGCGTCTGGCAGCGCTACGAGCTTGGGGGGTGAAAACGATGCCGTGCACGTCACCCCTGCAGCCCAACCGGCCCCGGCCCTGCCCGTGCCATTGCTGCTGCTGCTGCTGCTGCCCGATGTCCCCCCACCCGTGCCCGTGGCAGCGCTCTCCTCACATCCCCACGGAGCAGCTTGGCTCACCCTCCTGCTGAGGCTGGGAGTGATGGGGTCGGGACACCCCTCTGCCAGTGTGGGCTGGGGACCCCCGAGTTGTGCCTGGGGGATGGGGTGCAGGCACGGGGCGATGAGCGGTGGCAGGGAGGGGAGAGGGAGGCACAACCCCCCAGGGTGCCACCTCCTCCACCCGGGTGAAGGGGGCCAGAATCAGTCCACAGCAGGCTGGGTTTGCACCCTCCGGGCACAGGCAGCAATCTCGGTCCCCGAGGGGCTTGGTGTGACCCCCCCGAGCTGTTACAGGCGACACTACCAGGAGCAAGGAGGATGGTGACAGCGGCCAGACTCGCCCTCCTGCTGCTGGGCTGCGTGGGGCTCCTGCAGCCGGCCGGTGAGTCCCACGACTCGGGGGGCAGCCGCTTTCGCAGCAGGGCTAGGACGGAGCCAGGCTGCTCTCCGGCTGGCGACACCGGCCGTCCCCCATCCCTCCCCACCGCTGTCCCTCCGCAGGCGCCCGGTACATAAGCTACTGCCCCAAGGGCTGGTCCTACTACAAGCTCAGCTGCTTCAGGTACTTCCATCAGCTCCGGAGCTGGGACGAGGCCGAGGTAAGCCCGCCGGGGTACGGAGGCGGCTGGGGATCCCCCCATCTCCCGGGGGTGCCCCGGCACTGACGGTTCTCCCCGCAGAGTCAGTGCCAGGCCAACCACGCCGGCGCCCACCTGGCCTGGGTGGAGGAGCCCCGGGAGGCGGCCACGCTGCGGAGGGTCATCTCCTACTACCAGCGAGTGCAGCCCGTCTGGCTCGGCCTCCGCTACGGGCGCGAGGTGAGGCGGCGGGTGGCAAAGGGTGGGGGGGGGGGGGCGGGCATCGGGGCCATGCCTCTGACCCCCCCTCTCCCTGCACAGAGCCGGGCCTGGCAGTGGGTGAGTGGGGACAAGTACAGCGTCACCAGTGGGTTGGCTGGGGACAGTACCCACAGGGGGACCTGCGGCATGCTGACCCACTTCAGCGGTGAGTGCCCGGACCCCGCGTCCACCTTCAGTGCCAACATCCCCCCCCTCCTCCTCCTCTGGGTCCGTCTCCACTCAGGGGGCTGTGGCGGGCAGAGCTGTCCTCGCCGTGGCCCCCCCCCCAACCCCTGGCCCATCTCTCCATCAGGCTTCAACCTGTGGTCCAGTGCCGACTGCTCCCAGAAGCATCACTACATCTGCAAGTTCACCCCCTTGCTCTGAGAACAACCTCTGGGCCTGTGGGGCACCCCGTGCTGGTGATGCTCTTCTCCCCCTAACTCCTGAAAATACATCTATAAAAAAAGAAGCATGCAAGTGCTGTGCGAGCTTGGTGCTGGTGCAAAGCCCCGGCTGGTCGGGGTGAGGGAAAGGCAGGCGCTGCTGCAGCTCCCAGAGCTTCCCAGTTTCTGGGGGCTCTGGTGCTGGCAGAGCTGTGTGGGGGCGAGTCCCCGGGAGCCACGGGGCCAGTGGCTCTCCTGGCCGGGCACTTGTGTTTGCTCCTCCCCAGCCCTCTGGTGCCAAAGGGGACAAGTGTCCTGGGGTGCAGGTAGGGGGGACAGGAGTGTCCCCAGGGTGCAGGCATGGAGGAGACCTGGGGCACAAATGTGGGTGGGGATGGGAGCTGTCACAGGCATGCAGGCGTGGGGATGGGTGTCCCCCAAGGTGCAGACAGCTCCACAGGGCTCCAGGGGCTGCAATGCTGCCCCATGGCCATGTTGACAGCAGCACTGGGACCAAAGGTCCCTTCTTGTGTCACCGCAGTGTTGCCACAGGCATCACGTGGCTGTTTTTTTCTGCTGTTTTGAAGATGGCTCTGCCCCCACCCAGCTCACGGGTTTTTCCCCCCCTCCCGGAGCCACGGCATGTGACAGAGGTGGACCACATCCCAGGCGACACAGATGGTGCCGGCACCAAAGCCCTGGCCACCATCTGCTCCCTCCCCGGGCCCGCGGGGGCAGTCAGGGAGGGCACAGAGCACCTCGCACACGGCACGGTGACCGCAGCCGTGCCGGCGAGCCACGGGCACTGGAGCTGCCCTTGCCCCATGGCACAGGGAGCTGGGCCACGGGAGAGCCTGTCCTGCTGCTCAGCCCCAGCTCCAGCCGAGAGCGTCCCCAGGCTTTGGGACACAAGACAGAGACATCTTGCAAGTTCCCCCCCTCCAAAGCCAGCTCTTGCTTCGCTGTCCCTGTCGCGTTGGCTGGAGCTCGCTGACCTTTGAGCGCTGGGGTCCAGCGTGCTGATAAGGGCCGGGAGGGCTGTGCCGTGCTGCCCACGCAGTTTATAAAAGCACCACGCAAGGCCCATCCCACCGTCCATCCCGCTGTCCATCCCTCCGTTTGTGCAGCGGCCGGGGCAAAGATGCTGCGCTTGGTCGGCCGTGCCACACGCTGCTGGGGGGGAAAACGGGTGCTGCCGGGGCCAGAGGGGGCACCCCGGGGGGCCCAGCACCCCATGGCCACGCAGAGGGCATGGTGAGCACCCACATGGATCGGGTGGGGTGGGGGGCATAACTGGGGTGGGGGTCAGGGAGCTGGTAATGCTCTTAAACTTTTCTGGGGAAGGGGATGCTCCCCCTCCTCCCCACAGAACTGCTGGGTGCAGGGAACCAGCAGAGATTGGGGTTACTCGTGGCCTGGGGTGCTCGCTGGTGGCATCTGCCTGGGGCCACCACCTGTCCCCGAGACTCGGGGCCACCGCGGGACCGTCGCCGCTCCCTCTGCCCCGCAGCTTCTCCAGCGCTGCCGTGACGGGTGCCTGGCCCAAGGACGTGGGCATCCTGGCGCTGGAGGTGTACTTCCCCGCCCAGTACGTGGAGCAGGAGGAGCTGGAGCGGTACGATGGTGTGGAGGCCGGCAAGTACACGCGGGGCTTGGGCCAGCAGCAGATGGGCTTCTGTGCCGCCCACGAGGACATCAACTCCCTGTGCCTGACGGTGGTGCAACGGCTGGTGGAGCGCGGGCGCCTCTCCTGGGACGCCATCGGCCGCCTGGAAGTGGGCACCGAGACCGTCGTCGACAAGTCCAAGGCGGTCAAGACCGTCCTCATGCAGCTTTTCCACGACTCGGGCAACACTGACGTGGAGGGCATCGACACCACCAACGCCTGCTACGGGGGCACGGCCTCGCTCTTCAACGCGGCCGCCTGGGTGGAGTCCAGCGCCTGGGACGGTGGGTTTGGGCAGGGACTGTGCCGTGGAGATGGGGGGGCTGGATGTTGGGTGGGTGCCATGGGATGGGGGAAGGAGGCAGGAGGTGGCCTGAAACCCAGAGATGCTCCAGCAAGCCTCAAAGGGAGCTGCTGCTCCTCCAGACTCTCCATCACCCTTCTTTCTTGCCCGCCTCGGCCGTGACACCCGGCAGCTTGGGGATGGGAGTGCACAAGGGCCATGGGACGGAGGCTGATGGCCCTGCCGACCCCCCTGTCCTCCCTCAGGTCGCTACGCCGTGGTGGTGTGCGGGGACATCGCCGTCTATGCCACAGGGAACGCGCGGCCCACAGGAGGTGCCGGTGCCATCGCTATGCTGGTGGGACCAAACGCCCCGCTGGTGCTGGAGAGAGGTTGGTGTCATGAGACCCTGGGGACGGGTGCTGTCCCTGGGGGCCATACATCCATGTCCCAGCCCCAGACAGAGCTGCTCAGCTCCAGCAGCACTGGCTCTGCCAGCCTTGGTGCCTGCCCGGTGCTGGGCGCTCCAGGATCCCGGCCGGCCACATCCCTGTGGGTACCACGGAGTGAGTGACCCACCGCTGGCTCCCCCTGTGCCCCCAGGCCTGCGGGGAACCCACATGGAGCACGCCTACGATTTCTACAAGCCGGACCTGGCCTCCGAGTACCCGGTGGTGGACGGGCAGCTCTCCATCCAGTGCTACCTGCGGGCGCTGGACCGCTGCTACGCCGTGTACCGCCGGAAAGCGGAGAGCCAGTGGCAGCAGGGTAAGCGGCGGCACCCCCCGGGGTGCCCATGCCACCCCACCGAATGCTGACGGCCCCACGTTGCCTTCCAGCCGGCGTCCAGCGGCCCTTCACCCTCGACGACTTCAAGTTCATCATCTTCCACACGCCCTTCTGCAAGTTGGTGCAGAAGTCAGTGGGGCGGCTACTGCTCAACGACTTCTTGGCCACCCCAAACCCTGACACAGCTGCCGGCCTCTACAAGGGGCTACAGTCCTTTCGGTGGGTCCCCATTCTGTGTCCCCCATCCCCCAGCCTGGCCGGGGATGTGCCCGTGTGGGGTTCGAGCCGGCCTCTCTCTGGGCAGCGGCGTGAAGCTGGAGGACACCTACACCAGCAAGGAGGTGGAGAAGGCGTTCCAGGCGGCCAGCCAGGAAATCTTCAACCAGAAGACCAAGCCCTCCCTGCTCCTCTCCTCCCGCAACGGCAACATGTACACACCATCCATGTACGGCTGCCTGGCTTCCCTCCTGGCACAGTGAGTTCCTCCAAAATTCTGGCTGCAGGGGTGTGGGGGGGTGTGATTTTGGGGAGGGTAGTCCCTGGCCTGGCTGGCAGGCGCCACCTGCTCATCCCCCCCCAGCAGACTTGACCCTTTCCTTGCACATAACCCCCAGCACGGATGCATCCTGCTCCGCGCCATTTCCCTGCCAGCCTTTTCATCCCAGCTCGCTGGAGCCGGGCCAGCGCATAAAGCCCTTCTGTCGGTGCCAGGAGGATGAAAACCCCACGGGTTTATGCCTGGCAGAATGGCTGACCCTGCAACAAATTTGCCATGGGAACAGCCAGACACTGTGGGGGGGACCAATGTCTCATCCTAGGGCCCCCCAGCACCACCGCATCCCAGGGCCACATGCCTTGGGCAATTAAGCCCTGAGTTCCAGGACCCCCCCTGCCTGCAAAGGGAGCAGGAGGCAACCCCCTACACCAGCTCCACATCCCGTCCCCAGGCCTCAAATCCCCCTTAACCCCTCGCTGCAGGTCCTCAGCACGGGACCTGGCCGGCTCCCGGATCGGCGCCTTCTCCTACGGCTCGGGGCTGGCTGCCAGCATGTTCTCCCTCCGCGTCTCGCAGGATGCAGCCCCGGGTGAGCCCCACGGGAAAGGGGGGCGGGCCGGGAGGGGAGGGTGGCGTGGGGCTGTGGAGCTGGGGCTCTCGGGGGTGCTGTCTCACCCGGGGGGTGCCCACGGCCAGGCTCGCCCCTGGACAAACTGGTGTCCAGCCTGGCCGACCTGCCGGCTCGCCTGGACGCCCGCAAGCGCGTGGCCCCGCAGGACTTCGCCGAGATCATGAAGCGGCGGGAGGAGACCCATCACTTGGGTGAGTGGGGCTGGGGGGGACGCGACACCCACCCACTGGCACCCCCACGGCCCCGCTGAGCATCACTGCCCTCTCCCCGCAGCCGACCACGCTCCCCACGGCTCCCAGGCAGATCTTTTCCCCGGCACCTGGTACCTGACACGGGTGGATGCCAAGTACCGCCGGGAATACGCCAGGAAGCCCGTCTAGGGGGGACCGGAGGGGTGAGCCTTGGGGAGGAGGGGGGATGCTCTCCTCCCCGCCAGCATTCTGGCTCACCCCCAAATCCAGGACTGGCCTCTGCTGGAAACTGGACACTTGGAGGGCTGAGAAGCAGCTGGTAGTGCCTCTGGCCCTGGAGCTGGTGGAGATGGTGGCATTTTCTGCACAAACCTGGGTGGCACAGGGGAATAAAGGCGCGGATGAGAGGGGGCAGCAGCCCGGCTCTGGCTCCTGGTTGCGAGTGGTCCCCTCCCACCCTGGGGACCCTTCCCTCAGCCACCATGGGGCTGGAGCGTGGCCCCTTATGGGATTTATCCTGTGGGCACCAGCCATGACCACATGCCTCAGTACCCCCATTTCCCCAGGATGGCAGCATGCCCCAATGTTTTGGGGGAGCCAAGCAAACCCCGATTCCCCAGTCTGGGTTTGCAGCCTGGGATTGGTGAGATCCCTTTTTTCCCGCGACGCCAGCAAAGTGAAACATTCCCAAAAGTGACAATTGCCCAGGGAGACAATTCCCAGCGGGCAGGAGGGGGCAGGCGAAGTGGGGGCTCACGGGAGGGCTCAGCCCCCCTTGGAGCACTGCCTGCTCTCTGGGCCATGTCCCAGCACGGGACCGTGGCCCCAAGGGACCTTGGTGGGGCCACAGCAACCACAAAGACCTTTGCACCCTTGAGCAAACAGCAGTGGGGCCCAGGGGGGTGGGAAGGGCTGGGGGTAGGAGGGACAGAGCCTGCAGGAGGTTTGGGGTCGAGGACAAGGGACCACAGAGACAAGACATCACATATTCTCTCCTCCTGGACCTTTTATTGAGCACGAGGCCACCCCAAGCCCAGCATGGAGGCCAGGGATGGCTGGGTGCAATGTTCCCCCCGCTTGAGGGAGGGGGTTGGTCTAGGTGCTGCGGCCATGGGGAGAGTCCTTGCTGGTGGTCAGGGTTTACAGGTGGAGCTGGAAGACCTCTGAGACGCGTGGCTTCAGCTCGCCGAGGTCGGACAGGGGGGCTGAGAGCCCCACGACGCTCCACTGCTCCCCCGCCACAGCGCCAGAGCTGTGGTAGGACTGGAGCTGGACCCCCACCTTCCCCAGCAGCCCTGGAGAGGAGGAGGGGTGTTAGGGGCCGCAGGCTGCCCCAGCACCCACCAGGTAGCAGGGCTCTGCCCACTCCAACCCCCCTCAAAGGTCCACGATGTTTCTTCCCCCTCCCCACCAAGTCCTTTTCTCCAGGTCCCCCCTCAAAGGTCCACGATGTTTCTTCCCCCTCCCCACCAAGTCCTTTTCTCCAGGTCCCCCCTCGGGGGTGACGCGGGGAGCTCACCGGTGAGCACGGGCAGCGTGCTGGGCTCGGAGGCTTTGGCTCTGTAGATGAGGACGGGGCCAGCCAGCGGGACCGGTTGCTTGAAGGTGGCCCCATTGATCTCCCGCAGCACTGGGGTGCTGCCCTGCACCGTCCCCGCTGCTCGGTGCGGGGTGCCCTGCAGGGACACCTGCAGCAAGCCGGCACTGCCGTCGGGCTCGGGGGCCACGTCGCCGTGGGTGGTCGCGACCTGCCGGAGAGATGCTCAGCGCCCAGGTCCTGCACGTGGCAGGGCGTGGGGAAGGGACATCCTCCGAGGCCACCCCAGGGAATGGCCCCCAGCCTGAGGGCTGCATTAACAGCCCCACAGGGAAACCCCTGGGAAGGATGGGGTTGGGGGTCTGGGTGTGCCAGGGTGACGTGCAGAGCCCTAGGTGTCCACGCACCTTCAGCCCAGCCTCCTGGGCCAGCAGCAGGGCGTTCACCAGGGTCACCTCCTTCTGCGCCCCTCCAGCCAGCATGCCCGCAGCCACGGCGGGTGTCAGGTAGCTCCCGGCCTCCCGCAGGGGTGTCCCTGGGGTGCAGGGAGGAGGCAGGGGATGGATGAGCCAGCAGCAGAGAGGTCAGCCCCAAGCTGGAGCAGCCATCCTGAGGCTGGTCCTCCCACCCACCCATCCCTACTCCCATCCTCCCACCCATCCGTGCACCCATCCATACGCCCACGGCCTGCCATCCTCCCACCCCACCACCAACCACCCTCCTCCCGTCCACCCCTCCCTCTTGGCTGCCCTCCCATCCCTCCTCCCATCCACCCAGCCCAGTAGGTCCCCACGCATCCCACTGCCCTTCCCACCCATGGGGGTCCCTGTACCCAGACACGGGGCACAGCCTGCCCGGCTCACCTTGGGTGCACACCTGCACGCTGCCCTGCACTTGCTTGCCCACTGTGCGCAGCACCGTGCCCAGCGCCCTGGCCAGGGTGATCCAGGGCTTGGTCTGGGGTGCGAAAGCCTTGCTGAGAGCCTGCCCGTTGACCTGCGAGGAAGGACTCGTGATGGGAACCAGCCAGTGAATGCACTGGGTCACTCCCAACACATCCGTGCTTTACAGAGGGGGAAACCGAGGCACGGAGGTCAGGTGCCTTGGCGGGGGGACTCACCGTGCCGGCCAGCCCCTTCCCCGTGGCCATGTCCACGATCTGCATGGCGATCTCCTTGCCGCAGCGGCTCTGCGCCTCCTGCGTGCTGGCACCCAGGTGTGGGCAGCAGATGACGTTGGGGTGGTTCACCAGGTCGCGGTCCTTCGGGGGCTCCTGCCAACACAGCCCCATCCCACCATCAGCCCCCAACACCCACCCAGGAGCCCGGAGGGGGTGGAATTTACCCCCTCCTCCCTTGAAAGGAGGGGAGCTGGGGCAGGGCTGTGCCCGCTCCCAGCCCCGCAGGGTTTGCTGGGCTGCCTTGGCCTGGCTTGGGCAGAGTTAAGGTGATGCTGAGCTGACTCCAGGCATGGGGGGGGGGGGGGGGGGGGGGGGGGGGATGTTCCCCGTGGCCCTGCTGACCTGCGTGAAGACGTCGAGGGCGGCCCCGCCGCACTGCCCCGACCGCAGCGCCCGCAGCAGCGCGCCCTCGTCCACGATGCCGCCGCGGGCGCAGTTCACCACCTGCACGCCGCGGCGGCACTTGGCAAAGGTGCTGTCGTTCAGGAGCCCTGCGAAGGGAGGGAGGGACTGCTGTGAGCAGTGGGGGGGCTGCCACGGCTCCCCCCTGCCCCAAACCCCACCGTGCCAGGGCCCGGCCCCTACCCGTGGTGGAGGGCAGCAGCGGCGTGTGCACCGTGATGAAGTCGCAGCGGGGCCAGATCTCCTCCAGCGGCAGCTGCTCCACGCCAAAGGCGGCCGAGGTTTCGGGGGTGATGATGGGGTCGTAGCCTATGGTCTGAGGCAGAGCAGGCACTCGCCCCTGAAGCTTGGCACGGTGCTCATGGCCAGACCCGGAGGGGGGGGTCCACGCTCCCCATCACTCCTCCCTGCCCCAGCTCCTTACCTTCATGCCGAAAGCCTGCATGCGGGTGGCCACCTCCCTGCCGATGCGCCCCAGCCCCAGCACGCCCAGTGTCTTCCCATTCAGCTCCATGCCCATGTACTAGGGTGCAAGGTGGAGAGTGAGTGCACCCCACATAGGCACCTGCCGCCCCATCCTGCCCGGGGCCCTGCGCCCTCCTCCTACCTTCTTACGGTCCCACTTGCCCTCCTTCATGGAGGCGGCTGCCTGCGGGATCTGCCTGGAAGGGGAGGGAGCGGTCAGTGCAGGGGCAGGGGGCTGTGGGGGGTCACATTCTGTCCCCCCCCCGTCTTGTCCCACGCTCACCTGGCCAAGCACAGGATCATCCCGCAGGTGAGCTCGGCGGCGCTGAGGCTGTTGCCAGTGGGTGTACTGGGGATGGAGAATGGTGTCACTGGTGTGTCGCCCTCGGGGTGATAGGGGTCGGCACCCCGTGAGGACGGAGACCCGCAGGGGGGGTGGCCACGAGGTGTCACGAGTGGGGATGTGCCAGGAGCACAGGCAGGGACGTCCCCATGCTCCTGCTCTTACTTCATGACTAGGACACCCTTCCTGGTGGCCGCCTCCACGTCCACGTTGTCCACGCCGGTGCCCGCTCTGCCCACTACCTGCAGCCTCTCCGCCGCCGCCAGCACGTCAGCCGTGACTTTGGTGGCCGAGCGGACGATGAGCCCATCGCAGTCCTGAGTGGGTGGGGGGAACACAGACACGGCGAGTGGGTCCGGGGCCGAGGGCTGGCGGTCCCAGCGGGGTGACGGGTTGGGGACAGCCGCTGCCGGGGGGCTGGGATCCGCCGTGCGAAACCGGCCGGGATCTTGCATCAGACGGGAGGCGGAGACCGGCCCCGCTGGCCGAGGAGGGGGGGGGTCCGCTGCCACCCGGGACCACCACCCCCCCACACACCCACCCACCCGTGGATGCGGCCCAGCCGTGCCGCGCTCACCCGGATCTCCCGCAGCAACTCCTCCTTGCTCAGCCCGGGCTTCTCCTGCACCCGGAGGCCGCCGGCCTGCAGGATCTCCCGGCAGCAGGGGTCCAGGCTGTCGCTGATCAGCACCTTCTGCAGCCTCCCCAGCGCCATGGCCGGGCCGGGCCGGGCCGGGACGGGCCGGGCCGGGCCGGGCCGAGCCGGGACGGGACGGGACGGGCCGGGCCGCGGCTCTCTCCGCACACCGCCGGGAGGCTGCTGCCGCCCGGACACCGCGCTAAAAGGGCTGCGAGCGGGGCACGTTTTTCGGGCTCATTGGGTCCCGTCTCCATAATCCCACCTCCTTCCCCTCCCCGCCCCAGCCCGCCCACCCCCCTCCCCCCGACACCCCCCCCCCCTCGGAGGGAGGGAGGAGGAGGAGGAGGGGAGAGGGGCCCGGGGGGTGTGCCGGGCCCCCCAGCAGCCCCAGAGCAAGGGGGTGCCCCGGCAGGACCCCTTGGGCCGGGGAGCCACGAAGCCGGGGGGTAGTGGGGGGCAGCGCGTCCCCACCCCCACGCACCGCGGCCGTGCCTCAGTTTCCCTGTCCAGCACATCACAGCGCAGAGAAGCCAAAGGGGAACGGTGGTGACACCCATGGTGGTGTAAGTGGCTCCCTCCAAAGTTAGGGGTGCCACTGGCAGGAGAGCAGCCTGGCCCCCCAGCCCATGATGAGCTGAGCCATGCCCCGCTACCTCACCCAGGGGTTCCCTGAACTCCCCAAAAGTGAGGCAGTGCCAAGGCCCTTGCCTACCCCCCAACATGGCACCCGCTGTTGAGCAATGCCCCCGATAAGGGGCTGGGGGAAGGGGGCCAGCCCTGGCCACCGGCTCCCAATGACGCGGGGTGCACCGGAGCCGCCCAGCAAACGCCCTCCATGGGGCAAGAGCCACCTGGCTGTGTCCAGTGACCTCGCGGGGGGGGGAAAGTGCTGACCCTCGAGAGGGGATGGTGTGGGGACTCCCCAGGGCGGGGCACAGCCCAGCATGGCAGATGGTGAGGGATGGAGGGCATCCCCTTGCTCACAGGGCCAAACCCTCCCAGCGCAGCTGGACCAGACAGACCCCAGGTCCCTGCCCAAGGGGGAGCCAGGATCTGGCCCTTCCTTGCCCACCACTTTCCACGCGCTGGGGATGGGCAGCAGGGACACGGCGCTCCCAAGCAGGGTCCTGACGGGACTGAGCCCTTCCCCAGGCTGTGGGCGCCCCAAGCAGCAGGGCTGGACCAAATCACCCTGGGTGAGACCTGGGGTGGCCCCAGAGGCTGTTAAACCCCTCGGAGCCCCAAGTGACGGATCTGCCCCGGCAGCCGGGAGGTGGCCGGGGTGGCTGCCCTCGCCACGGGAGCCCAGCGCTACGTACAGCCCGGCACCGTGTGCACCCCGGCGCGATGTACACCCTGGCACTACCTACAGCCCCGTGCTACGTAACACCGCAGCCACGGCCAGGGAACAACCGTGACGCCAGAGCGGGGAAAGTCCAGGGCAGCCGACACAGGGCGAGAGACGCGGTCAAGGGCAGCGGCTGGTGAAATCTGCAGTGAGGTCCCGAAATGGCCCCTCGGCGGGGCTGTGTGACCCGGGGACCGGCACAGGGCTCCCTCTCCACAGCCTCTCTTGTGGCGTGGGCTGGGGGCACCCACACTGCGGGACGTGGCTGGGACACAGCTCCACCCAGCCCTGCCACCAGCCCTGGCTCTGTTAACCACTAAGACCTTGCTCAAGGCACCGGCTGACCGAGCATCCCAGCGCCCTGCTCCCCTTGCTGGCACCCCCTGGGTTTGCCCCACGCCTCCGTAACATCTCTGTGGCACCTCTCCCACGCCTGTGGCCCGCTTGTGAGGAGGCCACGCGTGGCCAAGCCACCGCTACCGCCGCGGTGCTGTATTTGCCGGCTTTTCCCGGCCGGCGGGTGCCCTCTCCTGGGGGAGCGGCGCCGGAGGCACAGCCCCACGGCATCCCGTCCCTCACCGGGGACCTGCCGTGACACGGGGGGTACGGGTGGGGTGGCGCTGCTAGCAGGGCACCCCCACTCCTGGTCCTTCAAGGGAGCCAGACAGAGAGACTTGAATCTGGTCCCTGCCTGGGTCCCCAGGAAGGGCCCCTCGGGCTGGAGGGGACCCCAAAGCTGGCAGGGCCACCGCGACGGGTGCCTGGGAGACGTGGGCTGTGGTGGCCCAAGAGCCACGACTGGGATGGACTGTGGGGGTTATGGGGATATGGCACCCTACTGCTGACCCCATTAACAGCGGGGTCCTGGGTGGGCTCTGCAGGTGGAGGGAGGGGATGGACACACGGGGGACACAGGGAACAGCTGGCTGAGGGGCTGTGGGTGCAGGATGGAGGAGAGTGGGGCCAGACAGTGGGGGAGTGTTGGGAGGGGGGTCCCCGCAGAGTGGATGGGGCTGGAGGAGAGGGCAAAGGCAGCACTGGGACTGGGGTATCAAGCCGGGAAAGGAATTAAGCGGGGGGGGGAACAAAGGAGACTGTGGTTATTGGGGTTGGGATGGGGAGTGGCATAGGAGAAGCAAGGGTGGGGGAAATTGGGGGTGTTAGGTTGGGATGGTGGGTGTTCAAGGGGGGTCAGGATGATGGTGGGGCCAAGTGTGATGGGGGGGTGATAGGGCTGTCCCAGTGGGGGACTGGGAAGTCATGGAACATTAGAGAGCAAGTGAGAGTGTTGTGGGGCTGGAAGGGTTCTTGGGGGGGTCATGGGGCTCTGGGGGTGACAAAGGGGATGGGGGAGTGTCAGGCTGGGATGGGAACATCCAAGGAAGAGCAAGGTGCTAAGGCATGACAAGGAGGACTGGGGGTAACTGGGGTCTCAAAACAGATGGTTGGGAGTGCCATGGGCACTTGGTTATTTGGGGGTCTTTTGGGGTGACTGGGAGGTTGGGGGAAGGAATGAGAGTACCGGGAAAGATCAGGGATTGTTCCAGGGGGACTGAAGGGTGGGGAAGAATTGGAGCTAAGGCCAGAGGGATGGGGGGTGACTGTGTTAGCCAGGACAGGCTGGCTGCAGGACGGGGGGAGCGGGGAGATGAAAAGGCGGATGAAGAGAGGAGGGGGGGGGCGGATAGAGTGGGGAGAGGATGGAGGGAGGGAAAGTGCAAGGAAGAAAGGATGGAGAGTCAGAGGGAGGGATGGAGGGAGGGAGGATGGAGGGAGGGAAGGGATGGATGAAGGATGGAGACAGGGAGGAGGAGGAGGAGGAGGAGGGCATGCAGCGGCGGGCGGAGCCGGCCGGTGCCGCAGAGCCGCCTCCCCGGCGCACGCTGGGGCGGCCCGGCAGCGCCTGCGGAGACCCGCCGGCTCGGCCCGGTGCCTCCCGGTGCCGCCCGGTGCCGCCCGGCGCCGCCCGGTGCCGCCCGGTGCCGCCCGGTGCCGCCCGGTGCCGCCCGGTGCCCGGCCCAGTGCCTCCCGGTGCGGTGCGGCCGTGCCCGGCGGGGCAGGATGCGAGCCCCGCGGCAGAGGTGAGGAGCGTGTCCGTGTGTGCGTGTGTCATCCGGGGCTGCGTGTGTCCGTGAGCGATGCGGGTCAGGATGTCCGTGTGCCCCGGGCACGCGTGGGAGGGGGGGGGCTGCGAGTGCCCACGCTGGGCCTCGGGTGATGCCGCGGCAGGTTGAGGCCCCGGTACCAACCAGCATCGGTGCGGTGGGGATGCGGCCGGGATGCGGGTGTGCTCCCTCGGGGCTGTGTGGGGCCGGACATTGCCTGTCCCAAACCACATCCCTCTTGGGCCGTGGGTGTCCCCTGCCTGCTGCTGGTGTCCCGTGGGTTGGCATTGCTGGTGGGGTTGTGGGACACCAGGTTGCTGGGCCCCTCGCTGGGCCCGCTCTCCTGGAGGTTTGCTGGGAGGCGGTGGGCCAAGGGTGGCCCCGTGGGAAGGGCTGCGGTTTGGGGTGCTGACATGGCGAGTTTGGCTTGCCCCATCTCCCCAGCCGCGTTTGCATCCTCCCTGCTCTCCCCCTGGCTCTGTCCACCCCTAATTCCAGCCTGAGCCGCCGGCCAGACCGCTTATCCCGGCACCCAGCCAGGGCTGCCGGGCCCCGGGAGCTGTGCCGGCTGCCACGCGTGCGGTGCAGCGCCGGGAGCCTTCCACGGCAGGAGTGTGGGTAACACCGGCCCCCGGCTCCCCCCGTCCCGCCGCGCTCAATGGAGACCTTGTTGCCGTGCCCTGCGGGCGGGCGGGTGGCCGTGCCGTGTGCCGCGCACACACACACACACACACACACCCACACCCACACACTCACCCACACCCCCCCCCAGGCGCACAGGCGGTGGCCGCGGTCGTGGCCGGCTGTCCCCGGCTCCACCTCCCTCCGTGACAGCCCCCGCTGAAACATTTGTGCCGACGAGTCAGTGGGGAGCCAGGCTGTGCCACGCTCGGCATCCCGGCCCCACGTCGCCGCGCTCGCCCTGGCCCTGCCCGGCCCTCGCCACGGACGCCCTGTCAGCCCGGAGGCAGCCGCTGGCACCCAGAGTGGCTGTGGCCGAGCACGGGGCTGGGGGGGCTGGCGTCCATCCCTCCGTTTGCCCTTCTGTCCGTCTGCAGGAGGCGACCCAGCCGCAGGAGGAGGTGAGTTGCTGTCTCGTGGTGCTGGGCGGTTTGGGGACACTCACCCGTGGGGCAGCAGGCCACCCTCACGCTGCCCACATGCCGTGGCACAGGCCACCCCGGCGGCACCTCGGAGGGCCGGTGCCGGCAAGCTGCCACTGTATCCCTGGTGCAACGCCATGGAGGTGCTCTGAGTCAGTGGGTGCTCTGAGTCAGGGCCGCGTGGCACCCCTCGTGCCAGGGCTTGAAGGTACACGGGGTGGGAAGTGCTTTCCGGAGGGTGGGGGGGACGCAGGGCTGTGCCCCCCTCCAGCTCCGTGCTGTGCCGGCAGCTCTGCTCCCTGCCCTGGGGTGGCACGGCCAGCATGAAAGGGCTCTTGTCCTCCGGCAGCCCCAGCAGCATCGCGGCGGCCTCCCCTTCTCAGCAAACAAATTCCCAGTGTTGGCCACAGGGACAGGGAGGGGGGGAGCCCCCATCCAGCCTAGCCTACCAGGGCTGTGGCAGAGCCTGGGGCTCCTGCTGGTCCCAGTGTCCCCGTGGCCTGGCACAGAGATCCCAGTCCTGGTGTTGTGGGGTGCTGGCTGGGCTGTGGGAAACTGGGTGCTCTGCTCGCTCACCCCAGACCCCACAGCCAGCCACGCCGCCGGGCTGGCCCTGCCTCAGGGTGGCCCCAGGGAGCCCCCACGGCACTGGGTCTGCAGGGGTTGGTCACCCTCCTGCCTGGGTATCGCCCCGCCGGGCATTGCATCTCCTCGACTGTTGCGCTTCCTCTGGTATTGCACCTCCTCCCCGTGTCGTGCCCCTGGGTATCGCACCTCCCTGGGCACTGTGCTGTGTCTCTGCAGATATTGTGCCTCTGGGTATCACCTCTGGGTATCATGTCTCCTTGGGTATCAGGCGTTTGGCTGTCATGCCTCCTTGATTGTTGTGTCTCCGGGTATTCTGCTTCTGGGTGTCGTGCCTCCTTGGATGTCATTTCACTGGGTATTGTGCTTCTCCGAGTATTTTGCTTCCTGGGATATCATGCCTTGGGATATCGTGCCACTGGGTTCTGCGTTTCCTTGAATATTGTGCATCCTTGTGCAGCTTGAGTCTGGGTATCGTGCCTCCTTGGGTGTTTTGTCTCTGGGTGTTGCACCCCTGGGTATCGGTCCGCCCGGGGTGTCATGTCTCCAGAGATCGTGCTTCCTTGAATATTGTGCCTCTGGTTATGGGGTCTCTTCAGGCATCGTGCTTTTGGTTATTGTACCTCTGGGTGCCTCTGAATATCACGCCCCTGGGCTCTGTGCCCCTAGGTACTGAGTTTCTGGGTATCATGCTGGTTATGGTGCCTGGCAGGGTGCAGGGCCACGCCTGGCCACTGCTGGTGTGTTTAAAGCCATCGTGCCTCAGTTTCCCCTCATGGTGGGTTGTTGCTGCAGCGGCTGTGGCACCCTGTGTCCGCATCCCCCCTGCTCCCTCCCAAGCTGGCAGTGCTGTATCCCCTGCCTGCAAGGTGCTGGTATGGTGTGCCCGGCTCTGGGGAGATGGCCCCAGGGCCCCTAGCATGGCCTGTGCCACAGGAACGTGCTGGCCCTGCCCGGCCGTTGAGGCTCAGCCCCCTGCATGTAGGCAGGACACTGTGCCCACCGTGGTGCTGGGGGTGAGCGTCCACCTCCCTGCTCGTGGGACTCCACCAAAAGGCTGTCATGCTGAGATTAGAAAAGAAATGCTCTGATTTTTTTTTTAAAGGAAAAAAAAAAAATCTCCTTTTTTTTTTTTTCCTTTATTTATTATTTGTGTGTTGGGTTGTTTTTTTTTTTTTCCTCTTTCATTCAATGACTCACTTCTCCTCAGCTGAAAATAAACCTGATTACTGCTGCGGTGGGGAGCTGCTGAGCCGTGATAGCACCGAGGCACGGGGTCCCTCAGAGCGCAGTGGGGGCCAGCCCTGCCTGAGGCAGCCCCTTCTCTCTGCCAGCACCCAGACCCCCACCCCAGGGGCGGCAGCGGGCTGCTGCGGGGGCTCAGGTGGCCCTGCCAGGGCTGCTAATGGGGCTAAAGTGCTCCTAAGGGGGCACGGCCATCTGCACGGCCCCCAGAGCCTTGTGTCTCTGCACTTAGAGCAGATGCCTCCCGGGTACAGGAGCACACGCGTGCACCCCCATGCATGCACGGACGCCCGTGTGCCCTTGTGCAGGCACGCACCCCCCGGTCCCCCCCCCATGCTTCCTCATGGATGCACAAGGGTTTTTTGCCTTGCCTGTAGTTCACACGCACCCCCACACCCCCCCAACCCCCACCCCATTCAGGCTTTTGGGTGACCATTTGATATCTGGAGCTCACCTCCGCCGCCCACCCGGTGCCCACCAGCTTCTTGTGACCCCTCTGGGGTGGGGGAGACGCAGCAGCCGCCGTGCAGAGCCTTTGGTAAAATCCCCCACCGCCCTCCCTGGCCCCTCTGGCGCAGCCAGGTGGTGCGTGGGGGGCCCTGGGGACTGGACCCCCCATGCCGTGTGTGACATGGCCATGTGCCTCTCTCTGCAGGGACCCCCACAGCGGCAACGGACCAGCTGTGCTCCCCGGAGCCAGCTGCATGGCGGGTAAGACACCCTGAGAGCTCCCCCCGTACCCCACACACCCTGTTCCCGTGCCCCGCCAAGGGTGATGCACCGGTGCTCAGCACCCTGGCAGCATGGGTCGTCCCGCGGCTCACCGGGCCCCGAGGCATCCCGGTGTCCCCTCCCGGTGACATCTCGGAGGCAGGCGGTGCGTGGAGCTGTTGCTTTGCTCGCCTGACTGCCGCTCGCCCTCGCTCCCTCCCAGCTTCCCAAGACAGGCCGTGGGGTGAGGGTGACGAGGACCCCGCGCCGGACGAGCCGGGGGGGTCCCATGGCCCCCCGGGTGCTCAGCCCCAGCCTGGCCCCTTGGTGCAAACGTGTCTCCTCCGGGATCTGGAGATGGGTCCCCTCGCCCAGACGCAGACCCTGCGGGACTTCGAGCAGGTGAGACTGCGGGGTGCCAGGACCCCCTATGGCACCCCCAGGACTCACCCCTCACCCCAGCACCGCCCGGGTGCTTGCAGGATACATGCCAGATCCCCTGGGTGCACCAGTGGGGTGCGGAGGGCGGGAGGGGGACGAAGGGCAGGCGGCGGTGGGACAGGGAGAGGGGGCTCGGCCCCCCTGGGCGCCATGCTCCCCCTCGCCACCCTCCTGGCTGAGGCCCGTGGGGGCCGCCGGGGCTCGGGTTTCACCACACGCCCGTCCCCGCTGTCCCTGCTCCGGCGATTCCTCAAATAGCTCCGGGAGGGGAAAAAAAAAAAAAAAAAAAAAAAAATATAGAAGGAAAGGGGCCGCGGCGGGGCCGGCAACAGGAGCTGCGGGCGGGCAGGGACCCTGGTCCGCGTCCCCAGCGGCGCCATGTGAGGGGTGCCGGGATGCCCCCCCCATGGAGCGCCGGCCATGGCTAACGGGTACCGCACGCTCTCCCAGCACCTCAACGACCTCAAGAAGGAGAATTTCAGCCTCAAGCTGCGCATCTACTTTCTGGAGGAGCGCGTTCAGCAGAAGGGCGAGGGCAGCCGGGATGATGTCTACCGGCGGGTGAGCGCCCGTGGGGGGACAGGGATGGGTGCCCAGTGGGAGTTTCTCTCTCAGTGCCCTCTCTTTGCTGGGAGGGAATGGGGCCAGGCGGGTGCAGCTGGTGGGGATGCCAGGGAGAGCGTTGGGCACGGCACTGGGGCTGCGGGAGCTGCTGTATGGGAGTTTGCCCCTCGTTGCCTTTGGCAGGAGTGGGGAGAGGATCAGGGAGGGCACCTCCAACCCAGTGGGGTGCCCAGGGTGGGTGGCAGTGCCAGTTTGGGGTGCAGACAGATGGAGCAGGTTTACCCCATCCCAGTGTCAGCAGGCTTGAATAGCACCCAAATGCCAGGAGCACCCAAAACCCTGCTGTGGGGTGGGAGACCCCCATGCCACCTCTGATGCGCTCCCGTGGGCATCAGGGCTGGGGGGTCTGGGCAAGTGTGGGGGCACCCTACCCATCTCCCTCCCACCCCGCAGAACATCGAGCTGAAGGTGGAGGTGGAGAGCCTGAAGCGGGAGCTGCAGGAGAAGCAACAAGCCCTGGACAACACATGGTGAGTGGAGCTGGCCAAGCCCCTCGCCCCGGGGTGGATGTGGCACCCACTCACCATGGGCACAGGGGACAGGGGTTGCCTGCCTTCACCCTGCCTGCAGTGGGCAGCGCTGGGGCTTGCAATGGGGCTGGAGAGGTTCGCAATGGGGCTGGAGAGGTTCGCAATGGGGCTGGAGGGGTTTGCAATGGGGCTGGAGGGGTTTGCAATGGGGCTGGACACCCGCAGGTCTCCTCTTACAGCCCTGGCGCCAGCCAAAAATAAAGGGCAGCACCTGTTTGGCAGGGGAGGGCAACGTCGTGCCCGGGGGCCGTGGTGTGGGTGTCCCGCAGCGGGGCACCGCTGGTCAGGGAGGCCAGGGGCGTGGTAGCTGGGGACCCCCTGATTTGGGGAGCATGTGGGGACTGTGTTGGTGGTTCAGAGCCTGAGCTGGTGCTGCCGGAGGAGCCATGTCCCCAGGGAAGGGCGTTGGGAGGTTACAGTGTGCCCTGCACGAGGGTCCCGCAGAAAAGGCACCCACAGTGTGGGGGGAGTTGGGCTGGGGGCACCCGGGGTGGCACGGCTTGCCCAGCCCTGGCTGGTTTGGGGTGGGGGCTTTTGCAAAGCAAGACTGTGCCGTGCCATACTGTGCCGTGCTATGCCCATGTCATGTGCCATGCCATGCCATAGCGTGCTGTGCCATACTAAGCAGTGCCATGCCATGTCATGTGAGATGCCATGCCGTGCCATAGCATGCTGGGCCACATTGTGCCGTGCCGTGCCGTGCCATGCCATGTCACGCTGTGCCATGCCATGCCGTGCCGTGCCATGCCGTGCTGTGCCTGTCAGGGTGGCTGCGGAGAACCAGACGAGCCGCAGCCAGGCAGAGCTCCGGCAGCAGTATGAGGAACGGCAGCGGGAGTCGGAACACGTCTACGAGCTCCTGGAGAACAAGATCCAGCTCCTGCAGGAGGTGATCTTGGGGGAGGTGGAGGTCAGGGGGGGACTGGGGGCCTGGTGCCTGGGCGCTCACCCTGCTGCCACGCAGGAGGCCAGGCTGGCACGGAATGAGGCCGAGCAGGCCACGGCACTGGCCAGAGCCGAGGCGGAGAGGTGCCGGGAGCTGACAGGGAAGCTGAAGGAAGCTGCAAGGATGAAGGAGGAGGACAGGAGTGATGATGGCTGCAGTGCCACAGCCCAGAGGTGGGTACCCAGGACCTGTTCCATCCAGGCTGCCAGACTGTGCCCTGTGCCAGTCCTTGGGGGCTACCAAGGGGCTGATGTTGTGCAGAGCTGTGGGGCTGCTGGCAGCCGGGGGTGTGGATGGGTCACTCCAAGAGGAGAGAGCTGGCCTGTGGGGAAGGGGGAGCAGCCCTGAGGCTGCTCTGCTTTGCCCCAGAGATCGTGCCTCCCCCCAGCTGTCCCCAGGGCCATCCCAGTGCCTGAGCATCTCCTGCCCTTCCCTCCCTCTCAGGACGATCGAAGAGCTGACCCGAGAGCTGGCCGACAGCAACCGGCTCGTGGAAACACTGTCAGCCGAGAAGCATGACCTGCAGCAGCGACTGGAGGAGCCCCCAGCTGTGGGGGGGCAGGTGGGTGGGCAAGCATGAGGGACCCCATCCCAGCACCATGGGGAGGAGCACAGTCACCCAGGGCTCTGTTGGCAGTTGTCATCCCCGTCCTCTTCTGGGGCTGTGGCCAGGGCTGTGCCGCATCCAGCCCGGCAGCATCGGGTACTTGCATAGCTGTGCTGTGGTGCTGGGGAGTCCCGGGGGGGCCGGGAGGACCTGGTGCACAGCGTCGGGGGAGAGGCCACCAGCCTGCGCTGCCCTTCTGTGGGTGAGGGTGCTGCCTGCGCCCATCTGCCGTTTAAATCCTCGGTCTTAAAATACCCCCAGCAGCCCGGCACGGTGCCAGCCAGGATTTCAGGGCTGCGAGGGATCAGAGCAGCGTGTTCCTGGCAGGCGCACGGCTCTGGCCACGCTGCGTCTTGGTGACACAGCGCTGTCCCCAGCAGCCAAGGGCCATCAGCGCCTGAGCTGGTGATCCCGCTGGGGGACCCTGGGTGCAGGTGACTGGTGCGTGGGTGCTGGTGGCCTTGTGCTGCGGGGACTTGTCCCACCGGCACTGCCTGCCGGGGCTGGGCGTTGGCACTGGCACTGGGACTTGGCAGTGGGGCAGGGGGCTGGTACTGGGATAGGCACTGGCACTGGGATGTGGCACTGGCACTGGGAGCAGGCAGTAGTGGAGGTGCCGGCACTGGGGCTGGGCACTGGTATTGGGGCGGAGCCCCAGCACTGTCACGGTTGCTGTCGCTGTCGCCGACAGTGTCACCACACCGACACCGCTCTACGCGGTCCCCGGGGCGGGCGGCGGGCGGCCACTGCGCATGCGTAACACACGACAGTGGGGACTACAAATCCCAGCAGGCGCCGCGGCCACCGCGCATGCGTGGATGGGGGGTTGGGCTGCCGTCTACCGCCATCTTGAAATCTGAGCCACAAGCCGGGCGCCGCCGTGGCAGGAGCATCCTCGGTGGCGGGGGGAGGCGGAGCGGCGGGGCCTGAGGGGCAGGGGGGCAGCCCGGGGTGAGGGGCGCCCCCGGGGAAGGGGGTGGGCAGTGAGGAGACAGGGGGCAGCCTCGGAGTGGGGGGAGCTGTGAGGAGAGGGGGGCAGCGAAAGGGGCGGGGAGGGGCGGGGGGGGACGACAGCCACGAGATGGGGGGCAGCCCTGAGGTGTGAAGGAGGTGTTGCAGGGTGGGATGTTTTTATAGCACCAGGAGTACCGGTGTGTCACACCCCCCCCACACACACACTAAAAAGGGGGGATTGGTGGGGTGAGAATTGCAGGTGGGCTCAGGGCTTGAGGGAGCTGTACCCCAGGAGATGCGCTGAGCGAGTGGTAGAGGCCTCGGGAAGGTCTTCTGAGAGCCCCCAGAAGTAGGTTCGGGTGCTGGTCAGGAGGGAGGATGAAGGAGACCTGCCGGATCTGTGCCCGGGAGCTGTGTGGCAACCAGCGGCGATGGATCTTCCACACAGCGGCCAAGCTGAACCTCCAGGTGCTGCTCTCCCACGTCCTGGGCAGGGAGCTGTGCCGGGATGGCAGATCCGAGTTCGCTTGCAGCAAGTGTGCCTTCATGCTGGACCGCATCTACAGGTTCGACACCGTCATCGCACGCATCGAAGCCCTCTCCATCGAGCGCCTGCAGAAACTGCTGCTGGAGAAAGACCGCCTCAAGTTCTGCATTGCAAGCATGTACCGCAGGAACAATGAAGACTCTAGCGCAGATGACAGAGCTGGGGATGGGACTGTGGACCTTTCTAACCTGCCTGATGTACGGTATGCTGCCCTCCTTCAGGAGGACTTTGCTTATTCTGGGTATGAGTATTGGACGGATCAAGAAGAGCACAGCTTGGAGCCACACAGCTGCCATGCTTCAGAGGGAGCGAGTAACCGCCCGCGGCGCTGCCGTGGCTGTGCTGCGCTGCGGGTGGCTGATGCTGACTATGAAGCAATCTGCAAAGTGCCGCGGAAGGTGGCCAGGAGCATCTCCTGCGGGCTGTCCAGCCGGTGGTCGGCCAGCATGGGCAACGAGGAGTCATCCGTGTGCGATGTGGCGGAGCCCGCCAGCGCCAGAGTGCCAGTGGATGGGGAGAGCATGGAGGAAGGCACACCTGCGTCTTCTGTTGAGTCCCTGGACACGACGGTGGAGGCAAACCCTCCACAGCAGAAGGATGAAGATGGAGATAAGGGGGTGAAAGGGAATGGGAAATGTGATGATTTCTCAGATGACCGCATGACTCCAAACTCTTCGCTGAGCGGGAACAGGCTGGAGCTGGCCCTCAGTTTGATCAAGGCTTTGGACTACAAACCCCTTCAGAGTCCCCGAGGCAGCAAGCTACCTATTCCCGTGAAGTCCAGCTTGCCCCCTCCCAAGCTCAGCCGTGACTTGGCAGATGGCAGCACTTCTGCTGGCTTAGCGTGTGCTGGTTCTGCCTTCCTGAATGCAGACAGGCGATCATTTTCCAGAGCTCCTCTGGGTCTTTCCCTGGAGATTTCTGAACTGCAGGAGCTGTGGGACGACCTCTGTGAGGATTATATGCCACTGCGGGTACAGGTAGAGGTCATTGTCCTGCTGTTCAGTTGAGCAGCATCCCTGTGGCCCAGCGCTGAGCCCACTAGGGATTCTTCTGTGCTGAGATAATAGATAGCCATGTGTCACCAAACCCAGGGCTAAGAATAGGCAGCTCGGTCCTTTTTAGGTGTGCTGCCTTTCTCCTCTGTCATTCTCCAACCTCTGTTTCCTCCTTGTGTTCTGGGGAATTAACCTTCTCCACTCTCCAGCAGCTCTCGCTGTCATTGCAGCCTGTGAGATGAATATGAGCTCTTTGCATGCTTTGTCATTTTTCTGCTGAGAAAACAGCAGTTTCACTTCAGCTTTCTCTTTAAGAAGTCAGTATGACTTTTACTCAGAACCAAAGGGAGTGTTCTGAGCTTCTGGGCATGTGTTTTCCAGCAAACGTGTTTCCTTTGTGCCTGGGTAATGGTTCAGTGTCAGAATGCCTGCCTCCAGAGCCCTGCCTCTGCAGATCAGGCCTCCAACCTGCCTAACGTGCAGATCCACCTGTGGTGCGTGCCCTGAGGAAAAGGTGTTTTCCTTGCAGGTGAATATGCGCCAGAGGATGGCTTTAGGGTTGGTATTCTGAATAATTGGTTTATTTTCTGATCCTTTGAAAAGATTCCTCGCTTAGCGGCAGGTGTTTCTGAGAGCTGATGAAAGCTTCTGCTTTCACAGCACTTCCTGGTGCTGTTACCTGCCTCCACTGTAGTCCTCCTGTAGCTCCAGATCGCCTCTGTTTGGCTGGCTTTAATGAAGTCTTCATTAGTATGCAGTCAAAAAGCTGAACTTGTAAGTCCTTTACCACTTTCCCTAATGAATAAAAGGCCTCCGTCAGCTTCAATTCAGGAATATCCATGTCAGCTTAATTGCATTCCCATTAGCAGCCTTAGTGCTGTCTAATACTCTAGGTGGCCTTGGGGTTTAGAAAAATGCTTGTATATTACTATGGCAACTGTGGCTGTACTGGATTACGCTTCCTATTCAGCCAGCACTGCTTGCTGTCCCGTCTGCTGGGGCGTTTCCCAGAGCTGTGTGCTTTTTCCATAACAGCCTGCTCAAGAAATGGTGCTAGGGAGGAATATAGAAAAACTAATTTTCATCTGGTGCACAAAGGCATTGCGCTGGCAGCCGGCGACTGGAGATGTGAAGCAGGGTGTTGATGCTGCTTCTGTAGCCTGTGTTGCTTGCTACTAATTGTCACTGCTAGGGATATATTTACAGCATAAAAATAGGCTTTCTCTTAACAGAACGTGGCACAATCAACGTGGCACGCTTAGGGCTTGGCTTTGTGTCACGCACCGCCATCCTTGTCTGGGAACTGCGTTTGAGGAGTTTCTCCAACCTCTGCCATCTGACTGGCCCTGCCAGGAATTCGTCCTGTGGGACTTTTTACTACCTGTTTCTTGCCACGGTAGCAGCAGTTGTGGTCTTTGGGTCAGGTTCCGGCAGAAGGGGGAAATAGCTCAATCCTTTGGATGGCTTTAACAGCAAAAATGAGAAGTTGGGTGCAGCTAGTAGACTACATAGTTCTTGTACAAATTATTTTTATTTTGCTTTGTACAAGCAACACTCTTTCTAACAGTCAGGTACTGTTGTCCAGTGTTTCATATGTATAAATGCCTTTCTGGTAACATGAAAGGAATATATAGGACATGTAGGACCACAGTTCCTTTATTGCTTTTGGGAAACTGCAGTACTTTAAATTTACTGCTTCAAGCTACAATGGCTGAGAGCAGTCTGGTGTTGGGGCGTGTGACCTTGTAGGTACTGTCGTCTTGGGCATTTTCTTGAACAAACAATTCTTCCCCTTCACTATTGCAGCCCTGGGAAAATGCCACTGAACCAAGCCTTTGTCAGACCCACTCCTGCAGCTGCCTGCGGTGCTGTGCTGGCAGCGAGGGAAGCGTTGCCCTACTGACAGCCAGTCTTTTACCCGCTGTTCTGGGCAGATGCGACCTTGGCAGGCTCAGATAATGCCGTGATTATTATTCTTATTTTTTAAAGAAGTGTTCTGTCTAGGTTAGTGTGGGCTGACGTCGCTGGAGCTGTACTGAGGGAGGGATTGTCAGTAAAATGCTGATGTGGGAGAAACCGCTGGGGAGCCGTGCTCCTGACGTGGCTGTGGTGAAGCATGAGGGAGGCAGCTTGGGTTTTGGGACTTCGGACTCTGGAACTGGCTCTGCCTTTGCCCTCCCTGCTCTTAGCAGGCTTTCTGCTTGTTTTTCTTTAGAATGTGAAAATTGTAAGGAAAGGCATGTGGTTTTTTTTGTTTGTTTGTTTGTTTGTTTTTTTTCCCCCCTCTGTTTTCATCAGCCTTATCTGCTGTGTGGCAGATTCCAGCAGCTCTCCCTGTCTGATCCAAAGCCTTCTGGCTGGCCAAATTTAAAATTATTTATTGTGTCTGAGTTTTCACTAAAATCTTAATAGAACATCAGGGTAAAGGGAAGCATTGCTTCTGTATGGAAGCTTTTCTATGTGAGAGGCAGTGCACAGGACTGGGGGAAGCTCACCTGTGCTGCCTGTCTTTCCCAGAGACAGTGTTTCTGTGGCTGGTGAAGATGAGGATTCAGTCTGAGAGGGCTAATCAGAGTAGTTCTCCCTTTGCTGTGCTCCTGTGTGTGTTCAGAAAAGCTCTGCCATATTCTCATAGCCTCTGCACTGCAAGCCTGTGCTTGCCAGGGCTCCCACTTCAAGCAGACACCAGTACAATTGATCTCATATTGCTGATGATATTCATGAATACCTAATGAGTCCTGTGAGGGCTGGGGTGGGTGGCTGGGTTTGAATGCTGCTCTAAGGAGTTAACAACTCACTAGGCAGGAGGTAGCAGAATATTAAGAAGGGATGACAAGGGATTAGTGTGTGCTCAGCCAGTAGGGTCTGGCAGGCCATGTGTCTGTAGGCTGTTTCCTTAATAAATGGATATGTGTCATGAAAAAAATTACAGCCGTGGCACTGAATTTGCTGTGGTTTGTGGAGCTGCAGGGAATAGCACATGACGTGGGTGCTGGAGCATGGGGAGCTGTGAGGAGGGCCCCGAGAATCACAAATGAAGGGGGTTTAGAACAGGGGGTGACTGGTGGAAAGGGCTGAAGGTTGTGGGCTTGATTAACACAGAGAAGCTGGGCAGAGCATGGGAAGGAGGCGTTGAGTTTGCTGGTTTTGAAGCTTTCTGAAGCTGTCAGCAGGGCCCATGGAAAGGAGGGGAGGCTGCAGGGCTGTGGCTTGAGTGTGGGGAGCCAGATCCATCATCAGCCTGCAGACAGTGGTTAGAGTCAGGTGAGCTGCTGGGTTTGCAGTACGAGACTAAGGAAAGACAGCGAGCCTGACCAGAGCCTCGGGGCAGCAGGGTGCTTTGGCAGGTCAGGCAGAGAGCTGCCACCCAGGTGAAGGGAGGCATGGGCAGCATGATGTTTCAGAGGCAGTTAGAAAAGCACAGTGGGGCATGTTTAAGCCCATGCTGCAAGGTCTGTGAGGGCTGATGGCTGAATAGAAGAAGACGGTACAAGACTTGAGCCATTTCATGAGCCATTTCTCTCTCTCTTTTTTTTTTTTTTTTTCTTTTTTTTTTTCAGAATTTGCAGGATGAACAGCAGCAGCTGGCTCCAGGTGACCCTGCAGCAGGGGAACATGTGTCCGATCTCTGTGCTGCAGAGCTGCAAGGCAAAATCCAGCAGTTTGAAGATGCTAACAAGGTATTTCTTCATGAACAGCAAATTTAGTGCCTAGTGAATCTGATGTAGTTGGTATTGGAGGGTACCTCCTAGCCTGACCAGAGGCA